ACGGCTTTGGCGTGATGATGACAATGAGAATGCTGCTTACAGATCATCGTGATGCCCCAACAGCTTGCTTCAATAGGGAGTTCATTGCTGAGCTCAGCGACATTGCTGCAGCAAATCTTCTCGAGCTCGAAAACATTGCGGAGACAGGTCGGGGCCGAAATGGGGACAAGGCGACGGACGCAGATGCTGCAGATGAGTTGACACCTGAGAAACGTCTTGACTTTGCAGCAGCTAGGAACCAGGAGGTGGACGTGCTATCAGATCTGGAAGAGAATCTGACAATTGCAGTCAAGGCGGGCAGAGCAGCTGCTGCCAGCGAGATGGCTAGACTCGCTTCGCAAAGCGAAGACTCCACAAGCGTCCAGAGAATCGTATGGAGGGCTCTACTGCACGCCAAACCGCAGGCGGTTCAGGCGGCTATGAACGCACAGCTTCCTGACTACCACTTTGTCGATGACATCAACTCAAGAACGTCTCTTCATGAAGCAGCGCTCGCAGGCAAGCTGCAGCTGGTCGACGCGTGTGTCAAGAACGGCATCGACGTATCAAAGAGGGACATCTATGGAAGAACAGCCCTTTCGTACGCTTCGCTCACAGGTCATGCCGACGTGTGCACGTACTTGCTCTCCATCCCCGCCGTGGACGCGACCACTGCGGACCTGGACGGATTTTCGCCCCTCGTGCTTGCTGTCATGAGCGGTCAAGTCGAAGTAGTTCGTATCCTGCTCTCTCACGGAGCGAGCGCAGATCCACAAGGCAATTCGGATCTGATACCGCTGGGCTTGGCGGCGCAAGGAGGACATGTTGAGATCACCCGCATGCTTTTGGAGAGGAAGGCCAAGATCGTCGCCAATCCAGAGGGCCTCTATCCTCAGGCGTTGGCTGCCCGTGAGGGACATGCCGACTGCCTGAATCTCCTACTAAAGTCGGGAGCTGATCCGGATGCACCGGAGAAGGGCACGCTGTGGACTCCAATCTTCTTTGCGGCGGAAGGCGGCCACGCCGACTGCGCGCGAGTCCTCATCGCTGCTGGTAGCAAAGTCACTGCTGCTGACGAGAAGGCTAGAACGCCAATCTTCTATGCTGCATGGCGGGGTCACATCGACTGCTTGCTGTTGTTGCTGGATGCCGGGCGCAAGGCTGCTGAAACGCTTGCTATCGATGCTGCGCAGTCAGCTTTATCGACAGGCGCCAGGAAACGACCAGATCAATCGCAAGCGCAGCCTTCGCCAAAGCCCAGGAAAAAGAGCAGAGGCGAGGAAGACTTGCCGGATCTGGATCTGGACGGAGAGATCGACGGTATCCCTTCCCTCTCTCTACCGCCTCCTATCATCCCATTCAGGACGTACGGTCACAATTATCTCGACAAAAGAGCGCTGGTCACCGTAGCCTTGACGGACTCTTCGGTCAGACTCTACAAGCTGCAAGATCCAAATCGACCTGAGCAATTCGCCACTTCGTCCTTGAAGCTGGTCATGACTTCGCGTCCTGATGCTTCCACCACTACCATTCCTCACACAATCATTCTCCCCCTAGCGGATGAACGAGAAGTCTTTTCGTTCCAAGTCGAAGCGGTGGAGAAGTTCTGCCTGGAATGGGAGCTCATGCCTACCTTTGGATCCAAGGTAATCGGAAAAGCCGTCGCACTTCCCTCGTCCCTCGAAGGTATGACAGATCGGAAAAAGTTCGTCTTGCCATTGCAAGACATGTATCTCAAAGTTGTGGGCGAAGTATCGTTCGAGCTGGACTTTGTCAAGCCGTTTGATGGAGTGCAATTGGAGATTGGTGGTAGGGTGGAGACGTACTGGAAAAGCACTCTGCCAGCATCCGGTGCTGTGACTGCAGTTGCGAGCACGACGACCAGCGGAAACAGGATGACGCCGACGAGTCTCTCGGCGGCAAGTCCAGCGCCTGCTACGATTTCTACCAGTAGCAGCGCAGCCAACGCCCTGGCTGCCGAGTCTTTCGTCACCGCTTCGTCTTTGTCGGGCGAGCATCTCCGAGTGGTGGTGCAAGTGACCAAGGATGGGGTCGCAGTGGTCTATC